TGAGAATACACAGTAAAATGCATCTGGTGGTCCTCATCTTGAATATCCCTGCTAACAGCTTTGCTATCAAAGTGTAAGCTGACTTCCAACCTCTGCCTCTCTGCATGGATGACTTCTTGCATTTTCTTTTAGCCGTGTGCCTAAATGCATGAACACAAATGCTCATACACATACACACAGATGTAGCCATACAATACCCATACTATATTATGTTCTCCAATGCATAAATGTGCCATTCAATTCCTCGTTGATTCAATACACAAAGCAGTGAGTGTATGGAAGAGTCAATATCATCTCTACTCAAATTTATTAAAAATGAAGCCTTCTGGTGCTTGTCCAGAGCTGAGAGGTGTTGCAAATAAGGAGTCACTGTAAATGGGCCAAGGTTATTTTGGGGGATGATGAAAATGTTCTAAATTAGATTGTAATGATGGTTGCACCACTCTGTAAATGTACTAAAAATTATTGAATTGGGCACAATAAATGAGTCGATTTTATGCTATGTAAATTATATCTCAATAACTATGTTAATAAAAACAACGTGATGCATCCGCTACACAAACACAGGCCTGCAGAACAATGGGAGGATGTATCTTCACCAGTCAGGAATTCACACTCGCTGAGGGTTTTCCATGTGCAGTTGCCACATTCTTGCGCAGCTTTATTATTCACCTGTCACAAGAAAAGCTGCAAAACTCTATGTGCCGGCATGAGTTGGAAATGTCTATTAACTTGTCAGCAAATGAAAAGGGTGAAGGGGTTTTCATCTCTGCAGATGAATTGGAACAGGTGCAGCATGTCTCCAAGATCGCTAATTAAAACTACTCAGGACTTATATTTATTTTACATGAAAAAGAGTTTTACATGTGTTTGAAAACTGTATGGAAATATAGCTTTTAAAAATTTGACTCTACAGTCAAGCTTTACTTCTGCTTTCTATCAGTTTGTGAATGGAGCCCTTGCTAGGGCATATGTCACATCCACTTTCATATACCAGCTTATTTTGTATTTCACATACCCATATAGCAAATGTAAGCTCTGTTTATTACCAAGAGGATTTGAGTTAGTTTGGGTACACCTATACTTTCAATTTGTGCCACTTCCATTTGACTCCATGGAATGATACTGATACTGTTTTTTATATCATCTTTGGAGAATATGAGGCTCTTGCCCTCCCAAATTCTGTGTATTTGTTTGTAGTTCAAGGAAAGGGAAATAGAGTACATGGAAAGGAAAAGGAACTTAGATGGGTCTGCATTATACATTCTTAAAAAGAGTTTGAATCTGAGCATAAGAAAACCTGTATTTGAAGAACTTATGAAATTTCTAACAAGCCACTAAGCCTATCCGTTCCTTAGATATTTAATCTCATAAGGCCTAGCTCAAATGTCACTTCTTTCATAAAGCTTCTAGAGATCTCTTTAGCTGGAATCAGTATGTCCTTCTATCCTCCTATAAAACTGTCCACCCCTAGTACATTGGAGGAGGTATGCAGGGGTTGGCAAGCTGAGAGACAGTATAGTACTGTGGTGAAGATTTAGATCCTGAAATCAGAGAGTATCTGGGATGAAATCCCAATCCTAGCACTTACTAGCTGTACGACCTTGGAAAAAGCTCTAAATTTCTTGTCCACAAAATTAGAATAATAATGGTGTTTACCTCGCTTGGTTTTCTTATGAAGGTTAAGTGGAAGAAGCCAAGTAAAACACTTCAAATACTGACTGGGACAGATGAAATGCTCCAGAAGGGATGGTTGCTGCTGTTATTTACCAGGAAGGCAGGGCAACATAGTAAAAGAAATTTGAAAAAGAAATTTCTTTTTCTATGAAAAAGTTCTAATTCTTTAAGTTGCTAGCCCTGTGATCTAGGAAAATCCATTAACAATTTGACCATTAAGTCCTTCATCCATAATGTTAATAGGTCAAATAGAGGTGCTGAGAGCCAAATACAATTGAGGGTATGGACACATTTTGTAAGTGATAAAGCATTGTTTAAGTCTTAGATCTTATTTGGAGGAAACTGAGTACATAAGAAAAATATATAATTTGGAGCCCATTAGAACCGTGTTTAAGTTCTGGAATTATCATTCGCTAACTTTGTGGCCTTAGTAAATTACTTGTCTCTGTGTGTGTCAATTTCACCACATTAATGAAAAGATAAAATTGCTATTGTAACCCTAAAATAAAACAATATTTAAGTACAGCATTCACGATCAAATACATAGCAGGTCTCAAACTGCTGGGCTCAAGCGATTTGCTGACCTCAGTGTCCCAAAGTACTGGGACGACTGGAGCAATACTATTCTTGATGCAGGAACAAGCAAAGGTTTCACAGTGAAAACACCAAAAGCAATCACAACAGAAACAAAATTTGACAAATGGGATGTAATTAAACTAAAGAGCTTCTACACAGCAAAAGAAACTATGAACAGGGTAAACAGACAACCCACAGAATGGGGGACTTTTGCAAACTATGCATCTAATCATCAGCACCTATAAAGAACTTAAAAAAATTTACAATAATAAAACATTAAAAAGTATACAAGAGACATGAACAGATACTTTTCCATATGAAAGAAAAATGCAAGCAAGCATATGAAAGAAAGCTTAACATCACTGCTCACTAGAGGGATGCAAATCAAAATCACAATGAGATACCATCTCACACCAGTCAGAATAGCTATTATTAATACGTCTAAAAGTAACAGATGATGAGAAAAAGGAATGCTTAGACACTGTTGGAGGTAGTATAAATTAGTTCAACTATTGTAGAGAAGAGTATGGTGATCCACAGTTTGGGATTCAACCCAGCAGTCCCATTTCTGGGTATATGCCCAAAGCAATATAAATCATTCTATCATAAAGACACGTGCATGTTCACTGCAGTACTATTTACAAGAGCAAAGACATGAAATCAACCCAAACACCCATCAATGGTACACTGGATAAAGAAAACGTACATATACACCATGGAATACTATGCGGCAATAAAAAAAACTGAGATCATATCATTTTCAGGAACATGGATGGAGCTGGAGGCCATTATCCTTAGCAAACTAATGCAGGAACAGAAAATCAAATACCACATGTTCTCACCTATAAGTGGGAGCTAAATGGTGAGAACACATGATCACATAGAGGGGAACAACAGACAGAGGGGCCTAACGAAGGGTAGCAAGTGAGAGGAGGCAGAAGATCAGGAAAAATTATTCTTGAGTACTAGGCTTAGCACCTGGGTCACAAAATAATCTGTGCAACAAACCCCTGTGATAGGAGTTTGTTCGCCTATGTAACAAACCTGCGCATGTACCCCTGAACTTAAAATCAAAAGAAAAAATAAAAGGTTAAATGTTTAACAAAAAAATAGTACACAGCAGAAATCAAACCATGTAATTTCACTCCTTGTCATGGTTTATTTTGTTATTTATGTCATATGTCTGTCACTGATTTCCTGGAGTCAAAAGTAGACAGTGCTCTGCTTTGCACATTCCAAACCCCCAGGAATGAATTCACACAGTACAGAAAGACTTCAGCCCTAGTTGTTGGGGGTTGCTAGACGAGTTCGGTGGCTGCAGCTCACCTTCCAGGCTTTGGACAGAAACCCAATAGGTTTTGGGATAGGTTTCTTTTGTCACATCTCAGGTTTAATATAAGACTGGAATGAATTGCCAAATACAAAAGTATGCTGACAATTTCCAAGCCCTTTAATATAGAGATATGTGATTGCACAATGGCTGTCGCTATGTTAGGGCAGAGAGCCCTCTGCCTGTTATCAGGCTTGCCCTGCACTTTTCTCTAGACTGGGCACCAGCTGGAGTTACACGTGGCATCATAAACAGAATTTCCTGGCACCATGTGGGTCATGGTAAGAACCAGCAGTCAGCCTCCTCTGACAGTACCCTATCTTGAAGAAAGAAGGGCATATGTATCCCAGCTAGCTTGCTCCAATGTAACCACTGGCCCACTAGCTTTTAGGGAGTTGGGAGCTTACGATTATCGACACTACTCTTTCCTTTTGCCCCAACAGTGGAGAAGTGAGGAGGATGGAGGTAAACCTTGCCTGAAATGGTTTCTATCTGCTTTGAGCAGGCTGAGGAAGCAGGGCAGAATGTGGAAAGAAAGATCACGAGACTTCAAACTTGGTTTTGGATGGAGTGAGAAAAATATATGAATCATGTATCAATCAGAAAAACATTTCATATATCTGAATAACTGTCATGATAACAGGCAGCAACTGTGAGGTCTCGACTGACAGTGGAACAGTCCTGGACCCAACACCAAGTAACCACTGGTGGCCTCTTAAAGGTAGCTGGGCAAAACCAAAGATCATATCTGTGTGCCTTTCTGACATCCGTCATGTGGTTACTCATTCTTGTAAAATCTTTTCCATTTCAGATCACCCAGTTACCCAGAATCAAAGCCCCCAACACTCAGCAAAAATAGAAAGCAAATGGAAGAATTATTAACACAGCAGAAACTATCTAATGCCAGTGGCTTCTTATGACAACACCTTAATCTCAGCTGAGTTGACCATTGGCTGATATTAACAGAACTAAACAATGGAATGTGAGAAACAAATGGTCAGGAGCTGAGGAGAGGGAAGTAAAAGAGAGCCAGGGAGGGAGTGAGAGGGGCTCTTCCCGCATAGCAAGTTACCAGGGAGAACAGGGCCTTGTCGCCCGGCCCACTGTTTGTCAAGTCAAAAAGTAAGAAAAAGAAAGGAAGGAAGGAAGGAAGGAAGGAAGGAAGGAAGGAAGGAAGGAAGGAAGGAAGGGAGGGAGGGAGGGAGGGAGGGAGGGAGGGAGGGAGGGAGGGAGGGATAGGAAAAGAAAAGAAAAGAATAAAAAAACTGCTATACTTAGTAACATGCAAGAACCATGCAATCAATTCAAACTCAACTAGTAAACCCACATCTTTCCGGAGAAAGAGACTTGGGCCACTTTCAAAGTCTTACTTATGTGTGGCCACAGGAAGCAACATTATAAATATCCCCTTATGTACCTTTTTTGAGCAGCTGGCCAGGCCCAGGGAGTATCAAGCATTAAACATTAATTTCTCCACCTTCTGGCTCTTTCCTACTTTGTATCGTCTCCTTTCTTTCACTCTCAAGGCAGAAAGAAACTGGAGTCTGAGTTGCACTGTAAAAGACAAAAGAATTTCTGCAGCTTGCAGCTTATCCAATCCAGGCAAGCAGCACCGACTTCAGGTGCTTGGGGAAGCCATCTGTAGCTCTTGAGGCGATGAAACAGGGCTGAGAATGCGGTGCTTTCTGGACGCTCTGCTTCCAGCTGGAAAGACCACTGAGGAAGCTGCTCTTAAAGCACTTTCTGCAAAATTGCCTCCATCCATTCCATCTGGTGTTCTCCAGTGATGGAGAGCTGCCTGGATTGTCCCAGAAACTAAGGCAAGGGCTGCCAGGGTTCCCTCCAGAGAGGCACAGAAATGAGGAAGAAGGGGGACTTGTGTATTCCAGGTGAATCACAGAATGCTGGCCTTATACCTGTCATACACAGGCAGCCTGAGCCTGGGGCCAGAGCTCAGTGTACCAGGGGAAGAGAAGCTGAAACACACAGAGCTGAGCTGCCTCTGAAATATACAATCCACAGACTAAATTCTGCTTAATGAAATACACACACACACACACACACACACACACACACAGCACATTTAGCTAAAAACCTGGATGTATCAGGTCTGAGATGAAATAGAAATATTAAAGGTGTATAAAAAAGGAAGAAATTGTGATAATACTTTGGAGAATGTGAAAAACAAATTAAGATAGCTGAGGAGAGAGAAAGGAAAGTGAGCCAGGGAGGGAGAGAGGTGCTCCTCCCGCACAGCAAGTTATCCGGGGAACAGGGGCCTTCATCTCCCTGCCCACTGTTTATCAAGGCACGTGGGGAATGAAGGCACAGTGTGCTCTTTGTGTGCTTTTTCATCATTTCTTCCCGTGTGCACCGATTGAACCAAAGCCTCCGTGTGGCACGCTGACAATGCCCTTTACCCTCCTTTTATCTGGCCTGTTCTCTAGACTTGTCATTATTTTTCAGTCCCCACATGTTGAGCTCCTTTCATCTTTTCTTAGAAATGATTACCTTCGGACCTGTTCAGTGAAGAGCTATGACATGGCACATAACATCTGAGCCCTTTCAAATGGACCTCCTTGAAGAATTCATTTTAACACTAGAAAGGGAGCTTCCTAATTAATCTTTGTTGTATATTATTATCACAAGAGGACTAGAGATGCATCTCTAGGGGCACTTACCTGTGAGGCCCCAGAGAAAAGAGGATGGGGGAAATGGGATTAGTGAATGTGAAATTACCATATACTCTGGTTTATGCATTTTTAGAGAATAGAAAATCTATGTTTCTATTTAGTCCATTATTTATATATAATCTTAATAGTTTTAATAATAATTTGAAGTATCTTACAAAAAAAGACCTGGTTCAGTAATAGGCACAGGTAATTAGACTAACAGTGGTGGAATAGGGGGGAGAGAGAGAGAGAGAGAGAGAGAGAGAGAGAGAGAGAGAGAGAGAGAGAGAGAGAGAGAATGCACACCTCCCCCCGCCCTCACTAACCCTTAACTAAGATAGGAACAAAGCATTGCATGTCACTTTCTGGTAGCCACAGCAAAAATATTACAGTATGTTTAATTACTAATGGCTGAGAAGAAGCATAATGGTTATTTGAGTGGGACACTTTTCTGGAAGTGAGTTGTAAAATATACTTCAGTGTATCTACATGCTTTTATTTATCTACAAGCATGAGCAGTGAACAAAGTCCTGGGAATTATTTGTGTGGGTGGCTCTGAGAACCACCCTATCTCTTCAAATGTGTGCTTCCTATGTTTGTGCGTGTGTGTATGTGAACACTCTGAAAGTACAATGGGGTCCAGCTGGAGGTAATTATACCTCAGAATTAGCATGAGGAATTTTGAAAACATGGCTGCTCCTCTCATCTCCCAGAAAAGTTCTGTTTGAAAGAGTATAATTATAAGGGATCGTTCTCAGAAATACACTTAAAAGAAAACTTCTTCTATGCCCCTTCTGTTCTTATCAGATAATATCTGCTCCAGCAACGGGTAGAAGTCCAGAGAGAGAGCCTCTGGAGACTGCTTTGCTCTTTCTGGACCTAGGCAGGGAGGATCTGCAGAAACGATCTGATTTTGGCTTTCTCAAAGTTCTTTGAATTATAACCCATATCCTGTGTCATTCTGTCTCACTAAAGTGTTCAATATTCTAGTATGCACATCATTGCCCTGACCTCAAAAATTTTTTTTTTCTGAAATGTACATCACTAGTTTTATTCAAAATGTTCATGTTCTAAAGAATCAGAGTGTTTCTTCTTTATCGAAGTGGTTCTTCAAGGTAAGTCCTCTTCCTTCTCATGACTGAAGTGTAGGATTGGGCAATCATCACTACCAGGCTTTTAGCAAAGCTCTGAAAACCTAATCCTGGAATGTGGAACCCCTGAGCAAAGATGTAGCAACAGTCATTCAAGCCAAATTTAAAAATAACTATCATTTGTTGATGTTTACTAAGGGCCAAGAATATGTAATCTTACCAACAATCTCTATGTGACCAGTATCATTTTACTTGTCTTATAGATGAGTAGCTGTGTTAAGGAAGGAGAAGCAATTTTATCATGTATCATGCATGCACTAATTGGTTGACAGTACACTTTAGTCACAGGCTTGTCACAAAATCTGTTCTAAGAACCCTTGCACTACCCAGATTTCAGGCTTTCAGAGATATTCTTGAGTTACCCATAGATCCGTCCAGCAGTTATTACACTAAACATGGGTTGCCCTGTGAATCACTATTTACAGTCATGGTCCATTCTATCCCCTTCAGGATGTCACACAAGATCGAATGTACCTTGGAAAGAATTTTAAAGGAAGGTCAACAGCATTGCCAAATTGGATACCATATTCTAAGAATGTCTACACTGGTCATCAAGGAAAACAGGGTCCTACTCACAAAGTTCATTTGTCAACTTGAGCCTATCTATAAGTGGATTGTATTTTTCTTCTGGAGAAGCATGAACCCTGGAGTCATAACATTGGTGTCCAAATACTGCCCTGCCCCTTATCAGCTGTGTGATCTTATCCAAGTTACTTTATACTAGCTCCATGCTGAGTTGCCTTTTCTATAAAAAGACAATGGCAATAGTGCCCATCTTAGATATTTCTCATGAGGACTGAATGTGTGCTCTTACAGAAAGGTGTTTAGGAAGTATGCAACCCAGAGTGAGCACTTAATAAGCTGAAGTTATCACTGTTTTTAGTTGAAATTAATGTGTTTTTCACCTTCTTTGGACATCACATTCATCATGTTCTTTTTCCTATAAACATGTATTTTAGGGAAGACTAGTGAGTTCAGTGATACTTGAGGTGACTTCAAAGACAACCCCTTCCAGGGGTCCCGCAACGCAAACTTTTAGCACCCTACGAAGTAAAACTTCACTTTTGCTCTTCTCCTTCAAGCACTGCTGTGCCTTCTGGCTCATAACTCAGGGCATGTGAATAAGGGAAACTTTCTCTCTGGCTCAGTCTCCCTTTTTCTTTCACTCTCTCAAACAAACACACATCATTTCTTAAGAGATTCTTTTTCCACATCACAGTCTTCTTTTTTATGTATCCCAATTTTAAATTTAAAAGACTACCTATGCTGAGAATTGTTCACTGATGTTGATTTATGAGACTTATGCAAAAAAAGGACAGTCTTACCGATGCACATATCTATTTGGCAAGGCAGCAGTGATTTATAAAATGACAAGCTGGTGACACTCATATAAAGGCAGCTTTCATGTAGCAAGTGTAAAGGCAAAAAGCAAATCTGCTACCCGTTGAATGACAAACTCCTCTGCTATTTTAAGAAAACCATAAATGCCACCCTAACTTCCCTTTAGTGTCCACCTAGTGGAGGGTGGGCCTTCTTAGAAGGGGTGTACAAGGTGAGCTTTTTTTTCCTGTTCTTGATCTCTGAAGCTCAGTGCCAGCTTAAGTTGGTCTGTCTTTTTCTAATCACTGTTTATGGGTCTGTCATCCATGAACTTTTCTAAGCTTAATTAGGGCTCTATACATTGTGTACATTCTTTTCCATCCAGATAACCTGCTGGAAAAAAATGACAAAAGATATCAAGCTTCTTTTATTTGTCCTAGCAGAGTGTATTTGACATTTGAATGTATGTTATATGAAAATGAAACTGGAGAAATTAGACTATGCTTATTATATTTTTTAAGACTATTACCCAGTCCCTTAGCCTCAATCATTATTGGTTTGTTTTGATATTGAAACTCTTTATTTCTTCCCTCAAGTCAGCTATCACCCCACAGTCATCCTCCTTTCTTGAGATTTAGTGTAGCCCACCACATACAAGAGTCCATCTAGGTCTCTAAACCCTCCCCTGATAATGCTCGAACCATCAGACAGGATGGCTACAGCAGAAAATTGATCAAACACTGTCTGTAATGAATTATCCTGGCCTTTTTCTGAGTACAGAAAAATAAACACATTGAATGGAAATGCACTGCACAACTGTTTCCATTTTCCACATCAGCTAAAAGCGCATTCTCGCATTCTTCCCGCCTGTATTTGTCAGGATAGGCTTGGTGACAGCCACAATACTGGTGGCTTCCGTTAACAGGTTATTTTCTGCTCATGCTGCATGCTTGTAATGGGTTAGTTGGGGTTCCGTTCTGTGTCATCTTCACCTCTAGGACCATGTTAATGGACCAATCTCTGTCTTGATTCTTGCTGGTCTCGTGTCAGAAGAAAAAGGGATCATGGTAAGATAGGAAAATATCTACTCAGAAGAGACACACAACACCCTTCTCACATAATTTTTGCCAAAGGAAGGCACATGGAAAATATAATTTTCCTCTAAGGAGGGGCACTAGTGAAAAGTAAAATGTTTTCTATGACAGAGGACTTTTGAAAAATGATCCTGAATACTACATTGAAAACTCAAAGAAGCAGAAGACAGTCACTACAACGACATAAAACTGGCCCCCAGTAAGATGTGTCTGTGTGAGGGTTTTATTAGGAAAAACTATTTTGCAATGAACAGAAACATTGGAAATTTCTAGAAGGAAAAAAGCAGTAGTATCTATTTGCCACATCTTCAGTAGGTCTCCAGGTCAAGAAGTTTGACAGAACTTGAGAGAGATAAGAACAAGGTCTAATCTTTGGATCCTCCAAGAATCTTCCCAGAATCCTTTTGTAAAGGTGACAGATACTGGTAAAATCAGAGAAATTGGAATCTGGCTGAAATCAACTTTTCCTCAGCCTGAGGATCAGAAAAGAAGAGGACAATGTCCCTCTTGAGAAGGAAACTCTCCTACCTGGTGAGTGAAAGATATGTCTGTGGGGGACCAATAGGACAGTACATACTACAGTCATCTGCAGAAGATGTCCAGAAGCACTGGACATCTCTACATAGAATGGAAATCTTTTTTTTTTTTTCAAAAAAGAAAGCAGCAGCTAAGAATAGGGGAATATAAATTACAGAAGGAGAAGAACAAAGAACACTGGAAAGTGGGAAAATGAAGAAAGCTGAGGAGCTGAAGGTGAGGAAAGAAAATGGGATTCCAGTCAGGGTAAGAGAAGGAAGCAGAACAAAGCCCAGAGAAGAACTTGCAGATGGTAAGGAACCTAGATGGAGAATATGTCTTTACTGATAAAGCTTAGCAGTGTAAAAGGGGGCTTGTGAGAAGTGGTGAGATTACCAACATTAATTTAACGATTCAACAAACTTTTGAAAATGTGTCTAGGGCAGGCACCATGCCAGGCTGTGGAAATCGAAAGTGGAATAATACACAGGCCTTGATCTCCAGCAGCTTGCATTCCAGTAGAAGTGATAGTTAATATACAGGACATTCAGTAAATATGAGATAAAGAGCAAAGAGAACTCAATTCAGCATGCTAATAGAAAGCAGGAGGAGCATGACACCTAAGACAAAGAGAGGAAGAGACGTCCTGGAGGAAGATCAAGAAAGATTTTCTGAAATGGTGATTCATGAGTTTCATATTAAAGGATAACTGAGACTTAAGTATCTAAGGGAAAGTTGGGAACATTGCACCTGACAGGGCCAAGAGCAGACGGCAGTGCATAAAGACAACAGAGCCACAAAATAGGTCATAATTAGGGCACTCACCTCAGACTTGTGTGGCTGAAGATGATGGAAATGGGGACAGGGGAGGCAGTGACAGGAAAGAATTCCAGTGTGAATCACTGACCAGGCTCTTGGAATCAACTCCACCATTG